TGCCAACTTCAGTTTAAACATCTGGCTGACTTTGCAGTAAACCATAATATATTAAATTTGTATGCCAGCTGACTCTTAATGACTCTTGGTGGTTCACAATAAATCGAGAAATTACAATAAAACATTTAAAATGAAGAAAAATATAGCAAGTATGATAAAGTGAGGGTCTCCTCCCTAACCGAAGGCAAATGAAGAGCAAATATCAACATACAGTGAAGAGCAAATATCAACATACTATTAAGCTACTTGTCCTACCCATTTTCACGATCAATTTGGATTTACCTTTGAATTGTCATCTGAGACCGATTTTTTATTTTTCTGATCACTTGTATTCGTCTGTCCATCTCTCTGTGTCTGTTATTTTGTTATTTGTGATCAGATTCAGAAGCAGATTAGTCTCTTATGGAAGACCACATTTTTAAATTCAGCTTTTCTTAAACTGTTATAACCTACAGAGGTGACAAGGCCCATTTCGTAGAACTGCTGAAAGTAAACTATCTTGCTCACGTTTTCCATTTGATCTTTCTTAGTGTAATCATTTATTAAATTTTAGTTTGCCTTTTTTCTGAGAACTCAAGGAACCTATAATTTGGGGGAGGGTCTCTCCTCATTTTATGACCATCACACTTGTGAAGTGGATTTGGCTGAAAGTATGTTTGGCCGAAAATCTATGATCATGTGAGCTTTTTTGTCTCCCGGCCTAGTCCTACTCATAAAAGATTAGAAATGTAGACCTGGAAGGGGTCATTTAATTTTGCAGATATCCAAATCCAAATGCTCAAAAAACAATGTCTTTACTTGAACACATATAGAGAACGGTGTGGAGGGGAATAGACAGACATTTTCTACTCAATATAATTTCAGAACAGAAAAAAAACAAGAGAACAAGATTAAAGATAAGTTGTATATGGTAGGGATGGTTGTATTCCAACATTTAGTTCTATTTTAAGTATGCTCAATGTACTTCTTTATATTTAGTGTCTCTATTTTTTTCCCCTAGGAAAAAAGTTTAACTATTTCACTTCCTCAGCGAATTGAATGCAACGATCACTGTGATCCAGATTCCCTGGGAAAGAATAGCACGGTAATTATTTCTATCCCAAACAAACCATATTGAAAAGCACAAAAACATCACAAATAGTAAAACATTACTTCATTCTATGGACTGTGATTTCTGTAATCTTGGTGGTTTTTTACTAATTCAAGAACAGTTGCAAATCAGTTAAGACAGTTAAAACTGTTTGGTTTTTTTATATATACACTTAGATCATTTCTCCAATAGTGATCTAGGGAGTTTCTAAAATCATCCAGTTGTAACGGTTCAAAAATAATAAGTTATGAAGACAGGCGTTACTTAAATAATGGCTGAATGATACTAAGAAGGCACTGTAAATTATGGAGATAATTGTACAAACATAAAACAATAGTGCTTAAATTGTGTTCTAAGGAAACTTTTTGATTATGATCATGATTTATCACTTGTTGCTTGCATGTACACTGAGAGCTTATGCACTGGAAACAAATTCCTTGTGTGTCCAATCACACTTGGCCAATAGAGAATTTCTATTCTATTCTATTCTATTCTATTCTATTCTATTCTATTTTCTACCTATCCTATCCTATTCTTCGTTATTAAATGTATATGATGCCCCTCTCACTGATAAGGTGATTTCCCTAAAACATGACTTGCCTGATACACACAGCAAAGTATGCAGAGTATGCACCTCATTCTCAAAGAGCCTTCACCAGAAGGTCTGAAGAATCAGGCTAATACTAAATCCTTTGTGGCATACTTGCAGGATTGTCCTTTTAGCTGATGAATGTGAAGGCTGCCTTTATGGGAAGGGACAATGTTTATAGCTGGCAATCGAAAAAGAGAGCCAAAATGGAAGAAGAGATTTCCAACTTTGCATGACAAGAGAAAAATTAGTACATATCTGATCTCATTTCCTTCAATAAGCAACCCCAGTCAGACTTCATCACTTATATTTAGTTGTTGTTAGTTGCGAAGTCGTGTCCGACCCATCACAACCCCATGGACAACGTTCCTCCAGGCCTTCCTGTCCTCTACCATCTTCTGGAGTCCATTTAAGCTCACGCCTCCTGCTTCAGTAACTCCATCCAGCCACCTCATTTTCTGTCTGTCCCCTTCTTCTATTGCCCTCAATCTTTCTTATATTTAGTGGAGGTCTCCAAACTTTGCATCTTTTAAGACTTGTGGATTTCAGCTCCCAGAATCCCTTAGTCAGCTTGGCCTATTCTAAAAGATGTTTTAAAAGCAGCCTTGAGTCTGGCATTTTAAAAGTGGACAGGGGGTGGGGTAGAGGAGGGAGATGATCACACACCTGTGCTGCTTTTGTCCTGTCTCTTTTAAGTCCCCTCCTCACCTCAGCAAGGCAAGGTTGCCTATAAAAGCTGAGTAGGGGGAGGGGGAAGGGGAGATAAGAGAGAGGGGTGTGGGGCAGGCTGAAGCAACTTGAAAGGGATGTTTTTCTCTAGCAGTACTCACAAGGAGTACTAGTAGGAGTAGCAGCTGTGGAGAAGAGTGTTTAATGTTTAATAGTATGCAAGGGCTTGCGTGTGTTGTCTAGGGACCTGTGTTGTCGGCTCTTTTGTGTCTTGAGCCCACCAAATTGGGGACAGTTAAAAGTACCTATGACACAGAGTTCCCCAACCACATTAAGGAGGGCCATCCAAGCAAGCCTTTAGCTTTGAATAAGTTCCCTCTATTGAGGGATCTCCAAATCTGGTTGATGGATCAAATTAAAATGACCACTAGCTTTTGTTCTGTCTTAGCCGTGTCTGAAGAAGATTCATCGGGCCCTTCACCGTTATCAGGAACTTCTGACACAATATTCAAAATCAGATACTACTACTGGGCTGCGAACTGCTGTGACTAATTTGTTGCATTTCCTTCCAAAGGTAAAGTATGTTTATGAGGCAAAAGGAACAGATTACAGGGACACTGCAACAATGCAAGTGGCAAGGACTGGTTGTCACTTTTTTCAGTTGAAGACTACTGGTCAAGGAGGCACTAACAATGTTAGGAAAGGCCCTATTTTTACAAAGAGGAAAATTATTTCCCTTACCCTTACAGTTCTCGTAGCCACTTTCATAGGGTAAACACAAGATTTGCACAATTCCCGAAGAGGACCTACAGCTCCAAATGTCTCCCTTTGGCCCTGTTCAGTCACCAGTTCAGATTGTGCCAAAATATTTTCTCTAACTTGAGCATCCAAACCCCATCGCCGGGATGAGCATTCACAAGGACTGACACCTTGAGAACTGGGTAAAATGCGGATCTGACTTATGTCCTTTTCTAACTACAGGATGAAAGCAAAAGTCGAGCGGAAGAAATACAAGCATGGGAGGAATCGCATGTGGTGGATGTCATCTTACAGCGCCTACAGTTGTTTGCAATTTTGATGGCACGGGTCTTTACCCACTGTGCAGCATTGAATAAGAATGTAAATATCTGAGCTAGAACAATGCCGGGGGGGGGGGGGAGAATATTTCATTACAAACCTTCACATACCTGCACATTATCCAGAAGATACAATTCTTTGCCTGAAAATGCAAAAATTAACGAGACAAGAATAGTTGGGGGAGGGTGACCTGGGAGAAACAAGGTGTGTCATTATGTGCTCTTATTTATTTAATATACTTATTTATATATATATATACATTTATATATGTATTTATGTATGTATTTATTTTTATTTATATGGCTCAATTCCTGTTGAGCACGGCTGTACTAGTGACCAAGAATGTATAGGAAAACTAAGGGCCAACTGTTAATATCAAAAGTGGGGGATCATTCAAGAATCTCTCACTTTCATTTACAATGTAAAATGTATTGTTCATCCTCTTTTGAGGGATTATGAGAACAGTGTTTTGTATGACCGATTACAATAAAAAATCTGTATTTGGGTTGTTGAAATGTATTGAACAATTCCATAAATGGAAAAAGGACACAGAGGTGAGAGACTTCTCCCTCCCCTCTAGTATCCTACAGGGGCAGGGCAGAATGCTGCGTGAACTCATCCAGTGCTGCAATATACAAAATTAAGGTAACTGAGTTGCTTTTGTTGACTTATTTCAGTGGTGGCGAACCTAGGGCACGCGTGCCAGAGGCGGCACTCAGAGCCCTCTCTGTTGGCACGCGTGCCACCGCCTCCAGCAGCAAGTCCATCAAGCCGCCACCGCCGCCCGGAGCAGGAGCCCCACCCACCACAAAGGAGGCGAAGCGGCTGACTAGCAAGCTTGAGTAGAGGTGGTAGAGCAGAGGTCACCAACCATTGTCGATTGGCGGACTGGAAGAAAAGGGAGGGGGAAACATTTTACATGCGTGCATGCGCGCACGGGGCTGCGAGCACGCACGTGCTGCAAATGGGGCGGGGCTAGTGCCTGCGGGATACTCACTAGCCCTGCCCCGTTCTTGCACGGTGCAGCACCTTGTATCTGCACCCCGCAGTGCAGCGGCAGCCGTTTTTGCGCCTTGCAGCACGGTGGCCCATTTTTGCGCCCCCCGGTTTTTGCGTGCCAGAGGCGGCACTCAGAGATGCCTCCCTGCTTTCCCCCGAGGGCACCAAAATGCTGGTGCAGCCCTGGCACTTTGTAATAAATAAGTGGGTTTTGGGTTGCGGTTTGGGCACTCGGTCTCTAAAAGGTTTGCCATCACTGACTTATTTTATACAGTGCTGGGATGATGGGAGCTATGGGGGCATCATTGGTAGAGGGCCTAGAATCCCACTACATTTTCCTGGAACCTTCCCTCTCCCTGGTGATGTCCCAACATTAACACTTCCATTTCAACGTTTTATAGTAAATCAGAATTTGCCAAACTTTGCGAGGATTGTAAAAATTGGACGAAATTATGCTCTGCTGCATAATAGTAAGCCACTGTCAACATCCCTACAATTTATTATTGCAGACCTCTACGTCTGTATCTACAAACAGTGCTTCATGCTGGACAGGACAGAAATATGAAAGCCAGGAGGAATTTGACAATTATCTGAATGTTTTATTAAGGACAGAGATCCCAGAGTTGCAGAAGATAGTAAAAATTACACACATGTATTTCAGGAAAGGATTGGTGTGGATGTAGCTTGTATTTGCTCAATTTTACCAAAGTACAGTTTGATCTGGTTGGTCCTTGCCACTTCTCCAAATGAAGGGAAATTCCAGAGCAGCTTGACCGGGCCAGCTTCCCATAAAGGATGCAGACAGAAGCCATATTTTGTAGCATCTCTTTATTTACAAATTTACAGCTAAGAGGCAAGACAAACAGAAATGAAAGCTCAGTATTACGTCATTGATTACTGTCATGGTAATTCTAATTCTAGCAAACAGCAAGTATGATATTTTATTTTTAAAACAAACACACCTGCTAATAAACTAGACGGATGCTGAGCCATTAATTCAAAAGGACCCCAACTTACCCAATTAACTGAATGAGCACATCATTTTTATATTTCTGGGTATCTTTTTTCCACTACTTTTCTAGATTCTAGTAAATTATTTTTTCCTTTTCCCAAACTGGCTTTTTGCAAACCCCTTAAACTCAAAATGAAGAACTCTCTGACTTTTTCTTAACCTGGTCCAACTATAATCAAGAGTCAGTCAACATGTAAGCCTTTTGGAAGTCAGTGAATTTCAGCTTTCATGAGTTCTATAAGGATGTGCGTGTGCATGTGAGGGAAGGAAGGAAGGAATTGTTCAACAATTCTACAGGTTGTCCAATCCTACATCTCTAGTTTTGCCCCAATCCAGGCACAATTAAAGAAAGACCTGTAGTGGCAATTTATGGGATAAACTTTTGTCCAAAGATTTGTGGAGAAGAGCTAAGAGAAACCAGAGTATTTTTTTTCCTATATGAGTCAATGCCCTTGACTGTATATTATAGGCAAGAAAGAATGGGGGGAATAAAGGACATATAGAGAACTGTGTGTGTCTTTGGGAAATAATCTTGGCATTTCTCTCAGAAGCCACTTTGAATATATTTCTGCTGGGTAGTAGAAACACTGCCCAGAGATGGGCAGACATATCAATCTGATGAATAAAAAAAATAAAAAGTAAAAATACAAAACTATGGCTGCCAGCTAAATTCACTTATGTTGTGGGTCTTCTGCTCTTTTTATATTCATTTTACAACTAAAACCTAATTACTCATTGGTTTACACAAAAATATGAAGGGATCAGACCTACAGACCTACACTTCTACCTTAGCATAAAGGTTCATTAAATCCTCAATATCATTTCCAGAAATGCCAGTGCTTGTATTCTCAAGAGGAAGCAGACATTGGAAAACTGGGTCATTCACATGCAGCTGTGGAATCTCATGGAGGTTGAAAGATTCCTGGAGTGGTTGCTGCTCTTCATTTGACTGGAAAAGAAAAGGATCTAAGAGAAAAAAAAAAACAAAAGAAGGGAGAGCAAATCAGCCGAACTAAAATCACAAAGACAAATGAGAGAAATCCAAAAGAAAAGAGGGAAAATGGAAGCAAACAAACAAACAAAAAAATCCTGCAACCATAGTCTCAAAAGGATTACTTCTGGGATAACAATCGCCCAACTTAAGAGGGCCCAGATCCATTACTTACCTTCCTTGGCAATCAGAAGATCCTCCACTTTATACTCAGGATTCTCCAGTTCATCAGCGACCGACTCATTGCTTATAGGGAGTAGTTCCTTTGTATCTGGTGTCTGAGTCTCTCCTGGTTGCCTAGATGGAGGTGAATTAGAGGAGAAAGGAAAAAAGAAGCATTCTACCACCTTCAGTAGCATCCATAATTGGGATGAGAGGACAGCGTCTTCTCTGCCATGGCACCCAAGTTGGGGAATTCTCTTGCTAAAGAAGTTCAGTTGAAACCTCTTAAAACCTTTTTTTAAAGACTGAGGCAATCAGCTCAGATTTTATTTCTCCACTTTTTTAAACCTGTGTTCAGGTGTTTGCCCCCATCAACTGGTTTTCATAAAAAGACTTTGAGACAGCACCTCCCTGAGTGGAAGGCACAAGCAACAATAGCTTGATAGGGGAAACCCTCATTCCATTCCAAAGGCTGTGCAGGACATATAACATCAGGAAGGAGTTCCATAAACAAGAAGAGCTATTTGCTTTCTGAGCTTTCCTTTCCTGATTATTCTTTCCTCTAGTCAAAACTGTCTCAAAAGCCGAGGGATGCTTTAGAACAGTGATGGCGAACCTTTTAGAGACCGAGTGCCCAAACTGCAACCCAAAACCCACTTATGCATCGTCGGGTGCTGGGTGGGTGTGGCCAATTGGGTGGGCGTGGCTGCAGTGGTAACGGTAGACTGGGTGGGCCTAAAAAGTTCAATCAATCAATTCCAACTTTGCAAGATCTTTTTTTTTCCCGTGAGAAGTTGAAATTGACTGATTGATTGAACCTTTTTTTTTTTTGCACGCGGCAGCGGAGGCCTAAAGCGAAAAGGTTTTATAAAACCCAGCCGAAGGCCTAGGACTGGGGCAACGGCACGCGCGCCCACAGAGAGGCTCTGAGTGCCGCCTCTGGCACCCGTGCCATAGGTTCGTCACCACTGGTTTAGAAGGAGGACAAGAAGAAAGAAGGCAACTCTATGAGATGTACTGTCTACTTGCATTACTCTGGATCCAAGTTAAGGCCTTTGTAAAAGACCTTTAATCCAGTGAAAGGAAACAGGGTTCCCTCTTTAGCCCAGCGTCTCACATCTATCAGGAGATACAGAGCCCATGAAAAGTGGGACCGCAGTAAAATGCTGGATTCAGGTGAACCAAAAACAGTTTGGGAGTGATGCATGAGACAATTACAATCAACTGCTTAAAGAAGCAAAGAAAGAAGAAGAAGGTATTGCTCACGTAGAGACTCTGATCAGGCGACGATTCAAGTATCTTCTTTGTTCCATCGTGCTTACTGGAAAGAAAGAACAGGCTATGAAGGAGAGAGAAGCAGCAACACTACCAATATTTTGCAATCCTCGCACCAGATTTAACAGAATTTCCTTCATAGTTTCCTTGACAGAGAGCTGGTTTGTGGTAGTGGTTAAGTCACCAGGCTAGAAACAGGGAGCCTGTAAGTTCAAGTCCCGCCTTAGCTATGAAAGTCAGCTGGGTGGCTTTGGGCCAGTCACTCTCTGCCTCAGCTCAACCCAGCTCATAGACTTGTTGTTGTGGGGAAAACAAGAGGGAGGGAAGTGTGTTGGATATGTTTGCTCCCTTGAGTTTTTTGTAAAAAATAAAAATAAAGGCAGGATACAAACAAACAAACATATTCAATAAATAGTGAAATGCCCAAAGACTGCACAACCATTACCCAATAGAATACTGGAAAGAATTCCTGAAATGCGTATCCTTATGATGGAGATAAATGTTTGCACTATCATTTTATTCAGAATAGCATGAATACTTCAGAAGAACTCTGATGGAAATGCCACGTGAAAAGGTGAATCTTTTGCCTCAATGGTTGAAATTTGCATGACAAAGAAATATTTACTAATTGAAGGTTTGTTTCCCATGCCAAGGCACATCTGAGGCATCATCTGTCTTTGCCTCCTTGAAACTGTAAACCCTCCGGAACAATTTAGGTTGCTCTGTAACGTATCGTCATAATCCATCATCATCATCCATCTGACAAAATGTACTTTAAACCTTCCCTATCCAAACAATTTCGTTTACTAGGTATCAACTCCCAGCAATTCTGGAAATATCAGAATACACATAAACTCATCCATGGGAAAATGCAGCCCAGCTAAGTTGCAGGGCATAAATAAGAGTCCTGGTGGAGAATGCCCAAGGAGAAACTGGCAGCTGCTAATACCTTCCCGCCGTTCTTTGTAATAAGAACAGAAAGCTTCATCCCGTGGTTTGTCAGGATACAGGTAGAGGAGTGGATTCTCTGGGATGACCTCCTTAGCCAGGAGTTGGTAGTCTCGGATGATATCAGGTAGGGAAAGGAACTCCAGCTCTTTCCTGGTGTAGGGCTCAACTGACTGGCACTCGGGAGCACCTGCAAAAATGGTATGGAGAAATTTCTGTACCATCCTGAAATTTGAATCTGGGAGGCCATGCGCTTGATGATAAGAGGGATTCAGAACAGAACAGAGTTGGAAGAAGGGACCTTGAAGGTCTTCTAGTCCAGCCCTCTGTTCAAGCAAGAGATCCTATACCAGACATGTCAAATTCGTGACTGTCACGCGACGTGTATCGGGACTGTTTTGCCATTGCCGTAAATGGGGTGGGTGCGGCTTCCATGTACCATTCCCAACAAATAGCTGTCCAACCTCTTCTTAAAAATCTCCAGTGATGGAGCAGCCACAACTTCTGAAGGCAAGCCGTTCCACTGGTTAATTGTTCTCACCTTCAGGAGGGCTTTGAAGATTCTTTTTGTTTTTGAGGAAACCTGTTAACTGTTTTCTTTTAAGTGAATAGATGGTGGGTCGACTTGATAGATGGACAAAAGATCTCCACCTTACTGACATCTTTTTATGTAGCACAGTATTTTAGTAAACATAGATGAGAAAATAATAACTAGTGGTAGACCTGTTATGCAAGTGGGGTGGGGAATGTATCAGATATTTGAAATATATTTTTCAGCATTCAGTCAGGGTGGACATTTTATGTTGAATGTTAATGTTGATGATATATTTGTTATTTGTTGTACAAACATTATTTATTATTGTTTTTTGTTTAGTTGTTTTGGTTGCTGTTGATGTCTTCTTTTTTCTTTTTATTCTGCACTAGCTGTACCCAGCCACGCGTTGCTGTGGCTCAGTCTGGTAAAAGCGTGTGTTGCTTTTACGTCCAACAGATGGTGCTGTTTTTCAAAAAAAGCATGTTTTTACCTGTCACAGGTGTGGCATCTATATAATATAGGTATATAAAAACACGCGCATATTCGAATGCAACGTTTGTCAAAATTTCAAAGCAATCGGTGAAGAACTTTCGGAGATTTAAGATTTTGAACAAATGAACATTTACATTTTTATTTATATAGATTTTAACTTTGGAGATGAATTTAAAAAAAATAAATTAAAAAGAGACAAATGTCTAATGACAGAAAATTGGCTGCTTCTGAGTGACTTTTTTTTTTTTTAAATTGCCCTCAGTCTTTTACAGAACCCCATCAAGTGGTTCTTAGCGCAATTTGAAAAATCCTGGTCTATTATGCCAAAGCTTAATAAGCTGGGATAAGCTATTTTGTAAGGCAGTGGTTCTCAACCTTGGTTGAGAACCACTGCCTATGGTTCTTAGCGCAATTTGAAAAATCCTGGTCTATTATGCCAAAGCTTAATAAGCTGGGATAAGCTATTTTGTAAGGCAGTGGTTCTCAACCTTTTTAATGCTGCGACCCCAACCGGTCGTAAGTCGAGGACTAAACCGGTCGTAAGTCGAGGACTAAACCGGTCGTAAGTCGAGGACTAAACCGGTCGTAAGTCGAGGACTACCCAACCGATCGTAAGTCGAGGACTTTCCCTGCCCGGGAGCGCCGCGCATGCGTGGTTCCGCCCCCTGTGCCGGCCGAGGCGTAGCTGGCAAGCGGTAGAGACGGAGCAGGCCGACCACCAGCTGGCCCAGCCCAAGGGAGGTAAGGCACCCGCCAAAAAAGGGGAAAAAAATGGTGGACAGCCTTGCTTGGCGACCCCCGTGAAATGGTCGATCGACCGCAAATGGGGTCCCGACCCACAGGTTGAGAACCACTGTTGTAAGGCATCACTGAAGATGATGAAAGGTAAGACAGGAATCCAAAAACTCACCCTCATTGTTAAAGTCTACCCAGGTACAGGTGATGCCACCATTGGCGGTACTCTCACTGAAACGTATTAGGAAGGTGCCCGCTCTTTTCTTCTTCAGCAAACGCTTTTCATGTTTGCGGCTCACAAATCCCATGATGAGACTAGTCAAATTTGGGAATGGGAAAGATATATATCAGGAAAAGCCACTCATTCTCCTTTGCTTTCATCTCTTCCTCGCAGTTTCTTTTCAAACCCTGTTTCCTACCTGCAAAGTCACGATTAGTAAACTGCTGTTCCAGGCAAAAAACCCTAAACACTGTGCTCTTTTCCTGGCTTCTGCAATCTCAGTTAAGGTCAAGGACAGGTTTTTTTTAAAAAATACTTGGCAACTTTAAAGTATGTGGACTTCAACTCCCACAAGTCCCAAGCCAGCATATTGCCTGGGGAATTCTGAGAGATGAAGTCCACATGTCTTAAAAGTTGCTAAGGTTGAAAAACAGTGGTGTTGAAAACCATGGCGAAAAGCTGTATCCCCAGCCTTCCAAGATAAGAGTTATGAAATTCTCTTCCCAAATCCAGGACAGATGCTGCTACTACCCCGATATTTGGGACTGTCTCCCGAACAAGTAATACAGATAGTCCTCAACTTACAACCACAACTGATCCCAAAATGTCTGGTGCTAAGTAAAACAGTTAAGTGAGTTTTGCCCCATTGTACGACCTTTCTTGCCTCAGTTGTTAAGTGAATCACTGCAGTTGTTAAGTTAATAAGACGCTTGTTAAGTGAATCTGGCTTCCCCATTGACTTTGCTTGTCAGAATGTCCCAAAGCTGATCACTTGGCCCTGGGACACTACAACAGTCATAAATATGAGTCACTTGCCAAGCATCTGAATTTTGATCATGTGACCATGGAGACAGTTCTGTGTGTGAAAATTGGCCATAAGTCACTTTTTTCAGTGCCATTGTTAACACTGAATGGTCACTAAACTGTTGCCAATTGAGGACTATCTGTGTATGATTTGGTGTCTCCCCCAAAGGCTAGAAATAATCCAGGTGTCCTAATTTTTTATCACTTTTCCTTTCTCCCCAATCTTTACTTGTCGTTCCAGAGCTGAAGCAGATGCTCTTGAATCAGGAATAGGATTCCATCAACCCAGGTCCAGAAGCTGAAATTATTGTCCTCTGGGGAGCTGGCAGTCGCTTCCTGGAGAGAAAAAAAGAGGACAGATAAGTGAGGAGGCTAGCAGTTGGACAACAAACACTCCAGGAAGCTGTTTCTGGGACAATTGCTCACCTTTGAAAACTTGTCCCATGTGATGGTACTATCTGAGTTCACACCTGGCCCTTTGATGGGAAGAAAAAGTAAGGAGAAAACCATATAACTGCCTTGATAAGGATACGTACCTGAGCAGAACATTATTTCTTACAACAGTGCTATTCTTGTCTCACATTACAAGGAGAATGAAAACTGCTGGGAAGCAGAATTGAAGACCTTGAACACAGTTCTCCAATGAACCAGGCACGACTACTATCAATTCTGAGTCTACATTCCCAGCTCTTGACCATTTATAAATGCCCATTTTGCCTAAACTTCTCTGCTGAAAAGACAGAGACAGAATAAGCCCTGGGCAGGACTTTCAACCCAGACCTGTCCATGTCAGTGAAATCCCTGCTTCATCTCCATATGGATAAAACTTCCCAATTTACCACAGAGTTTTTCTCCCAGCATTTTGAGCTGTTGGTTGTCCAGGCCTCGCTCAGTGGCTGCTGAGAATTGCCAGGACAACACAGTGGAAAGCTGGATCCAGGTGGCAGGTGGTGGTTTGGAGAAAAACAGTTGGTTCTAGGAAGGGGGAAAAAAAAAAGCATTAATTGGGCACTTCATTTTATTTTAAATTGTCCTCTGCGTGCAAAGGGTCCCCAGGGAATACATACGAGGAACAGTTTTAGAGACATAATTCCTTGGGCTGTCCAAAGAAACTGGGATTACCGACTAGCTTTTTGCAACCTTTTCTTATCAGTTTCCACTAGAAAGTTCTCTGACCTCAGCCATATGAGAACTTTCTCTTACATGCCCAGGGGAAGATTAGATTAGGAGGGTTGCTTTAAACTCACACGTTGGAGAGGTTAAATGTTGTGGGATAAGAATAGGTGTTACTTTCCATCCCCAAAGTGATGGTATCCTGCCATATATGTCTGGCACAGTAGCTGGCTGCTAGAGGACAAGTGGACATCAACAAAGAATGTAACTTGCACTCAAGAACATCCTTCTTCTATTAGGCTCCCTACTCTCATTTATAGGATTCTAGAGACAGAGGTCCTGAGGCGAGGTGCTACCAAAGAAAGTTTTCAGACATGGAAGTTAAGCAGAATTTTTTCGTATGATTTCAGTGCTCTTGAATTGAATACAAGAGGGAAGCATGAGAGAAATGATTCCTTCAGAGAACATCTAGAGACTAATGATTCATGCAAGCAGAATGAGAGGCCTTCCCCATCCAAAATAGAGAAAAGTTGGCCCCAATACAAGTGATAAGAAAACAATAATGCCCACTTCTGAGAAACAGCTGTTAAGAAGACAGGTTCTTACCTTAGCATCTGTGCTGAGGATAATAAACCATAAAATGGAAGCCCAAGCGCTGGAGATCTGGTTGGCATTGGAAACAATTACCACAGGCAAGGTCGATGTCTGATGATGAAAAAAGGTTGGAAAAGAAGGAATCAATACAAACACAGCGCAAAGATACTCCAGGGCATTGTACAAAATAAGTACAAAAAACTCATTGCTGTATTAGTAAGTCCATTCAGTGGCAGGAAAGCAAGATGTGCAGACACAATTCCAACCACAATGGATTATAGTCATCCCAGGTTCTTAGGTACGCAGCAGTCCTTTTGGGAAGGGACAGTATAGTGGCAATGCAGAAGATGATAGTTATTTCAAGAGTTAGATATTTTAATTTCTCCTTCATATTAAAAAAGTCTAGAAATTTAGATTCATACAGAAAATAGGTGATAATGTTTGTTTATACAGATAGTCCTTGAGTTATGAATGTAATGGAGCCTGCTCATTCCATTGGTAACTCGAGGATTCGTTGGTGTGAATGGCGTACCTTGAATGCGATCACTCCCTGGTTTCGCCCACACATTTGCTAATCAAATGCGTGGTTCGTTAAGTGCACATGAGGTATCTCAGGGTGGGGAAGGCCATGGGGGGGCCTAGTGATGGAACAGGCCACCTGCTTCAAGACCACCCAAGGTTTCCCCCCCCCCGACCCACTGAGATACCTCATGTTCCTCACAATTGCTTCCCCTCCCCCATCCTACCACGCCGGGTCACTTACCTTGCGAAGATCTAGCAAGCTGTCTCCTCTTCAGCCTCTCCGCCGCACAAGATCACAGCGCCCAAAAGCTTCCACTCTCCACGCAAAACGTTTGCAAGCTAATGGGAGGCTTTGGGTCAGCGAAATTTCTGCCTCAAAGCATCCGGCTAGCTTGCAAAAACTTTGGGCGCTGAGACTAGGAAGCTTCTGGGAGCTGTGATCTCGCAGGACTTCAAGCTTCCAGTCTCCGCACAAAATGTACTTGAGGAAAAGCCTTTGCGGCTGAGAACGGAAAGAGGGAGTAACACGGGCATCAATCCGGGACTCTGTTCTCGCCAGCAAAGACTTTTTGCAAAAATGGCAAAAGGCTTTGCAAATGGAGGGTAGGCTTTGATGTTTCAAGCCTTCCCTCCGTTTGCAAAGCCCTTTGCCACTTCCAGGCCTCTGTTTGCAATGAACAGAGGCCTAAAGTACCATGAGCTCAAGTGAGATGAGTAGCGTGAGATTTCGTGCTACTGTTCTCAAGTGATCTTGCGGTACTTTAGGCCTCCATTCTCTGCAAATGCACCAAAGGCCTGAAGCAGCCAAACAGGCCAAGAAACAAAGGCTCTCTAGATCAGGGGTGTCAAACTGCCAGCCCGTGGGCCGGGCGCGTCACGACAAAACCGTGCTCACCCCATTGCCGGCAATGGGGAAAAAGCTCTGTGACGTTGCGAGTTTGACATGTCTGTTCTAGATCTTCGCAAGGTGAGTATCCACAGTGAGTATCCTAGCGTCTATGAAAACCCGTCCACGGGCGGGGGGGGGGGGAAGAGAAGGGAATAACCAGGGTGAATGTTGCAGTGCCTCTGTGGTCGTTCATAAGGGTGAACAACTGCCACGGTGCTGCAACATTTGTAATTTCGGGGCTTGTTCATAAACACTAGGGGGCGTGTATCGCATAATTTCGAACATTCGCTAAGAAGTGAATGTTCGTAACTCAGGGATTACCTGTACAGCAAGTTTATATAGCTGCCCATCTCATTAAGAAAAACAAGTGTTGAGTCATTTGGTTTTATAACCACTGAGACGAAGGGATGCATCTTATGCCATCACTGATCAGAAACAGATCAGAGGAGAACCTAGTTAACCAGGATCTCCCCCAGTTCAGCCTAAGTCGCCCCCATGCCACACGAAGTAATAATAATAGTACAGCTGCCTTCCCCTCTTATGTTTAATGGAATTAGCAAGATCCTCTTACCTGCAGCTGGCACTTGATACCTTCATAGCAGTAGTCCAGGGTGAAAGTGATAATGTGCAATTCTTCGGTGACAGACAATGATCCCTGTCGCCCAGACCCCAGGAGAAAATAAACAAAGGCTGATCAGAACTGCTTGAGACTACTGTGGGGCTATGCTTTCAGATTTTACTGCAGCACAAGCTTACAAGAATCCCCTTTATAAGAAATACGTTCTGTTTAGCGGGAGACACGCTGTGTTTATACATTCAAATAGGTAAAGAAATCCATACAGGGATTCCTCACTTTATAATGGCAATTAGGAGCACAACTTCCATCGCCAAGCAAAGCGGTCATAAAGTGCAACTACATCGCTTAGCAATGCCAATCCCTGCAATCCTGGTTGATGTCCTGTCACTGAATGCCATGGTCGTTAGGCAAGGCAGTTTCTTGCTGGTTTCCCACCACCAAAGTAAGTGGGGGAGTTGGTAAGAAGTTGCGAGTCCCAGGCCTGCAGGCAGGCAAGTAAAAATGGCTGCTGCCAGTTGGGAGGCACAGTTCAGGGAAGGTATGCGTCAGGTCCCTGATGGAACGCTGCCATTCCAAGGGGAAGGGGGACAGCTAGTTGGGGTTTGAAGAATTTGTTGCTTTTGTTTTGATATATTAGTGTGGGAAACAGGGAGGGGGGCCCATCTGGATGGACTCCTTTCTGGCCGGTTTCAGCCTGCTACCGAGAAGACACTTTGTTATCAACCTTTTGTCTTGGAGTTCTCAAAACACCTTTGGATGCCTGCGGATTGGTTCCTGATGGACTGGGGTATTGGGGTGGGGGTTGAACAATTTGGAATTAGTTTAACATTTTCGTACGGGAACTGGCTTCTCTGCAATCACATTCTCTCAGTAAAAGATCCTTTTGAAATAACGCTTGTTTCAGGAGTCATGCTTTCTTGAGTAGATAGCTGAGGCAGGACCTTACAGTGTTCTAGTGGCTGGTGTAAACACAGAGATGCTGGGGGTGGGGGTGGTTGAGCTTATCCTGGTGACTTGTAACCTTCCCTGCTAATTTCTCCACTCTCTTTCTAGGGAGAAGTCAGGAGAGAAGGCTACAAAGGGCGAACATGTGATCACAGGGTGCTTTAGAACCAATTTTAAGTGTGAATGGATTGTCAAGCACCCAGATCATGATTATGTGATCACGGGGTACTGACTGGTAGTAACCACCATTCTTTCTATACCCTGGTAGCTTGGAAGAGATGCTGACTGAATGGCCATAGATCAAGGACTACCTATATACACAGATTTATACATCACCTACTCCAGAACCTCCACAGTAATAATAAATAAAGCTTCCCACAGCATAACAAACAAAGCTGGGATAGACTTGGTTTATATCTGAATAAGGGACTCCCAGGCCTTAGGATATATTGGGAAGTTGAAAATCAACCTGGAAGAAGGCAATACCACTTCCAAGAAAATTGCACGAACCTATTCATGAAGACACCAGGAGTAGAGCCTTATTTGAAGGAACTTTTACTTTAGTGGAAAATATTATACACAAATGAATGTAAATAAACAGAAGTGCAAGCAATGGGGCCAAAGATCAGTGAAGTACTGGAATTTGCAATTATTCCTCATTTTTAACTTGAGACATGTTTCCCAATCTTTAAGCTTGCTCTACCACCTCGAGAAGCAGATCCTTAACACTTCCTGGGGATAACACAGCCTCTGGGTATTGATTATTAACCCCAAATCTATGGTCAGGTCCACAAGTAAGGTAGGATATCTTTACACGAAACCATCACCTGTTGTCTAACTGAAACCTCACCTCGCTAATCCCTTTGTTGCCTTTTCCTGCACCAGAGATTTTCTGCTCTCTCAGCGACTTGAAAAGAGAAGAGAATTTTTATTAATAAGAGTGAAAAGGAACAGAGATCACATCAAACCAAATCAATATATTGCTGAATCTTCTCCAATCTATTGCCTTCCAAATGCATCACTTCAACAGGTTATCTTTTCCAAGAAATACTTATTATTCTACTCAGTTGTACAAACAAAAGGGCTTATTAGAAACAAACCTAGTTTCTATGATTGTGACCACTTAGAAAATAGTTTTTAAAAAACATTGGACTTCTTGTGCAAGCACAGCACCTCTCTGCTGTTCACTGAAGCAGCCTGATCTTTTTTAGTCTTCCATGTAAGCTTGAAAGAAATATGCAGCTGCTTTAAAATAAATGAATGACGGATGCTGGACATCTTTAATGCAACTTTTGAAGGAATGGGGTTTTTCTTACAGACTTAACATAGAACACCTGGAAAAAGATGTCCTTACTTTAATGAATAGCAGGAAGCTGATGTGCTTGCGTGAGATCAGAAGCATGTCTTTCAAATCATTTTGGGGTTTTTTCACCAATTTCAGCTTCCCCTCAACTTCTTCTCTTGCATGTTGAATGTTCAACTGTTGTCTTAAAGGATTATTTAAATAAAAGGCTGAAGCATAGGAAAAATCACAGCGCCATTCATTTATGCAGATGAAAAAGCAAAAGTTCTCCGGGGTTGTTTTGCATGCTCCTGACTCACAACAATTTTATCAGAGCATCGTTATTTTAACATCTTTTTAGAAGAAGGACTGTAGATTAATTGGGGCTTTGATGTGCAATGCCACTTTGCTGGCACAGTAACAGATATTGGAACAGCATACTTCCTGAAATAGTTAAAACACTAGATTTTTAATGACTAGATAAACAACAGGTCAAAAATTTATCCACCTGAACTCCCTATTGCATTTTGTGTGTTCGGCAAGAGTGCAAACAGTGAATGCAAGACAGGTGGTTGCCTTGGGGCTTGGAAATACAGGTGACAAGGGGCTCCCTCTTGCTCAACACTTTTTTTAAAAAAAAACCAAGCAACCTGGATGGGTGAGGGCCTGACAGGACCTAAGCTGGAAAATCAGCACAAGAGGGAGGGAATAGCTACTGTGTTATCATCTCCTCCCAAACTGCAGCTCCCAAGTCAGTCATCCATTCAGTCCCTTTGTTAGGCAAGCAATCTAGTTCAGTGGATCTCAACCTGTGATCCACGGACCCCTGGGGGCCATGATGTCATCACAGAGCGTCTGTAAAGGCTTGCAGAAATGTTATAATTTAAACCTTGACTTAAATCTTGGGAGTCTGTGGCCCTGGTCCGTGGCTACAAAAGATACAGGTAGTCCTCGACTTACAACAGTTTGTTTAGAGACAGTTCAAAGTTACAACGGCACTGAAAACAGTTGACTTAGGATTGTTTTTCAGTGTTACCGTCTTTCCAGCGTCCTCATGATCAAAATTCAGACGCTTGGCAACTGGTTCGTATTTATGGCGGTTGCAGTGTCCCACGGTCACGCGATTCTCCTTTTGCGGCCTTCAGACAAGCGAAGTCAAATGCGGAAGCCAGATTCACTTAACAACCGCGTTACTAACTTATCCACTGCAGTGTTTCACTTAACAATTGAGGCAAGAAAGGTTGTAAAATGGGCCAAAATTCATTTAAGAAATGTCTCACTTAGCAATGGAAATTCTGGGCTCAACTGTGGTTGTAAGTAGAGGACTACCTGTATTTAAAGGGGATCCGCGGTGAAGAAAAGATTGACAACCACCGACCCAGTTGCTTAAGAGTGACCCTCATGGGCCTGAGATCAACTGTAGCTGTGGTTTGGAAGCAGCAGGAGCTCTTTCCTCCTTTGTTCCTGCTCAGCTTGAATTTTTATGGTTTTAGCACCTGAGCTCCCCTGACTGATTCACAGGATGCATAAAAGAAATACAAGTAAACAAAATCTAATTTTCACCACACTTTCGTCTCCCCCAACTAAACTGTAACTATGGAAAAATTAAAATCTGCATGAAGACATGGAAGGGAAAGAATAAAAAGGAGAAACATGGTAATATTTTAGGTACGTGAAATGAAAAAAAAAATGCATCCCAAATGGAGAACCGCTGAATATAGCTTACAAGAAATATAGACAAGATTTCTTATCTTTTGCCAAAATTTAGTAGAGTGGCATGACAAAAAATGTGGTTTCTATGTTGGCAATGGTTAGGTTTCCCCTTTGAGGAGCAATGTTTGCAGTCCCCTTTTCTATCATTTAAATGGATCCTCTTGCTCCAACTATCTTTTCTCCTTCATTCATTCATTCATTCATTCATTCATTCATTCATTCATTCATACATACATACATATAAAGGTTCAAATCATCAGTCAAAATCCATTCTCTGCAAATTCAGTCAAAAAGGTTCAAATCATCAGTCAAACTCCATTCTCTGCAAATTCAGTCAATACATACAATGTACTTAAAATCACAAACGAGTCCTTGCTTTTGATTGTCCATCATCAAGGATTTGGTATTGGATGTTAAAATATTGAACTTCCGGAACCTTCAAAATGAGAGACACAGAGTGAGAAGGCATAAATACAAGGATCAGTCACAACACATGCCATTTCCTGCTGGTCAAAGATAGATATAGTATGTATTTGGATATAGTGTCTTGCTTTAACAGAGAAAATAATAATCTTTTTGAACAGTTGGCAAATTTGGAATTCTGAAAGTAATTTGTGAATGCTTTCCCAAAATGGCTATAATGATCATTCACAAAATAGCTGCCATGGGGAATATACGACTGTCACAAATACTACTTTTCCAGAAGACAAACTGGGGAGGTTCCTTACCATTCCAAGGAACCTTTCTTCCTGTTGTCTGGGCACCCTCCCAAATAAAACACTGAACTCTAGATACCCATCTTTTTATGTTCAAAAAATGCCCACTGAGCCTATGAAGGATCTAGGGACATTCTTGGGCATTAAAACAGCCCCGAAGACTGGCTGTTTCGTCTGTAACAACATCTCATTTAGCAGTGTATAATTTTAAAAATATTCAATAAAGAAATCAGACTGGGAACTTGATGGGAACCTAGACGAGAGCTTATCTACTTCTGCTTTACTCAAATTATATAGGGCAGGCACACTACTGCCTTCTCCAAAAGTCTCCCCCTTCTCTGTATCCACTGCAGTTTTCCAATCTCAGTTGCCATCTTTCTTTTCAATTCTGTTAGGCAGGTGATTTTGGAGATACACCTGAGGGCTGAAGGAAGTTCTTCAAATCTCACATCTACCAATAATCCATTTATCTCTTTCTAAGTAGGTAGCTGAAGGGTCCCCCTATGAACTCCTCTTCCATAAATCAGATAAGTAAAGCTTTACAATCTCCAGATTAAGAATCATGGTCCACTACCCTCCCAGATAGGAAAGGCTCATTATTCCCCATTGCTTTTATTTAGCCATTTCTTACCCAGTCAAATTAGTAGCATCCCTGCAAAAGATAAGAACAAGGAAGATCAATCAATGGGTGAGGTCCCATATCTAGTCCCCTCCCACCACAATGCTACAAGCTCCATTAGTAAGTACGGTAAGATCTATAAAGTCTACAGCATGGGTGTCCAGCCTTTTGGCTTGCATGGGCCGCATTAAGTGAAGAGGAATAGTCTTGGGCCAACGGGTGGAAACTAACCAAAGAGAGAAGCAACCTAGAACTAAGGAGAAACTTCCTGACAGAACAATTAACCAGTGGAACAACCTGCCTCCAGAAGCGGTGAATGCTCCAACACTGGAAGTTTTTAAGAAGAGACTAGACAGCCATTTATCCGAAATGGTATAGGGTTTCCTGCCTGAGCAGGGGGTTGGACTAGATGACCTCCAAGGTCCCTTCCAATTTTATCATTATTATTATTATTATAAATATATAAAGCAGTTATTGTATATAAATCACAAAATAATAACAGTTTACAATCTTGTGGGGCTGCATTATGCAGCCCATGGGCTGCAGGTTGGACACGCCTGGCCTAGAGGGTTTTTTTTTGGTTTTTTAAAAAAATACTTGTTATTAAAGAGTTTTAATAACAACACAAACTGAAATCAGGGGGAAAAAAGAAAAGAATAGAAAAAAAGAAATACAAAGTGTAAAAGAAAAAAGAAGAGAAAAAAAGAAAAATAGAAAAAAGAATATCTAAAAAAGCAACACCCAATCTTCCTTGCAACAAGTACAGGCAAATAAATATCACTAAGGTATTAATTAATTTATTTACTTACTTATTTTATATGCCGCCCGTTTCCCTGAAAAAGGGAACTCTGGGTGGCTTATATTACATACACCTCACTTCTTCCCATAACCTTCCCCCACCCTTGGATCTTTTCACAAATTCAAAAACTGTTGTCATTTCTGTCCCCAAGTATGGCAAAAAGTTCATTTAGGGTTTCTAGAAATGTTAAAAAATATTTCTTACTAGCTGTACCCAGCCACGTGGCTTAGTCTGTACCCAGCCACGTGGCTTAGTCTGCTAAAACCGTGTGTTGCTTTTACGTCCAACAGATGGCGGTTTTTCAAAAAAAGCATGTTTTTACCTGTCACACGTGTGACATCTATATAATATAGGTATATAAAAACACGTGCGTATTCGAATGCAACGTTGTGTCAAAATTTCAAAGCAATCGGTGAAGAACTTTCGGAGATTTAAGATTTTGAACAAAGATTTTGAACAAACGAACATTTACATTTTTATTTATATAGATTTTAACCCTGAACAAACATGTCATTCTTATAAAGGCTAGAGTTTCAGTAGAAGAACTTACCGGTCAATGGCAATCGTCACCTCCACTGAGTTATTTCGATCCAGCAGTTTTACCAGTAGTCTGAATCATGGAAATAGCAACCAATTAAAATCCATGTGATCAAAAAAAAAAAAAAAAAAAAAGGGGGGGGGAGGTATTTATATTTTCAAATTGAATTGTTTTTCTACTAGTCAAAAGTGTTTCTGCAACATCCTGTTTATTAATATTGTCTTGAGGTGTTTTTGCATATTTTTCCTAAATAACCAAATAATATATAACAATCTTATTTCAAGTGAAAAGACTACTTTTTCATGATCTTGGCACTAAAGCTTCATGGAGCAGAGCAAATTAATTCTGTTTTACTGTCTAAATCTGCAATTAGATTGTCTCAATCAAACACTTGTGATCATAAAAGCACTTGAGAACTGGAAACAGTAACTGTTCTTCAAAAAGCTTGTTGCTACTGAGGTTTTTTTTTTAATATTTAAAAAGAGGAAGCTACTATTTCTCAGTTTCCAGTTAAAGCTTCTAATGTTAAATGCAATCCTTATCCATTTCCCACCATGGATATTTGGAAGCTTCAACTGGTTCAAAATCCCGCACACTGGCAGTTATGCATACTACAAAATTTGAACATGTTACATCTTTTGTCCATGAGTTGTAAAGGCTGCCAGTTTGCTTCCGGGCTTAATTCAAGGTGCTGGTAATGATCTACAAAGTCTACATGGCATGGGACTAGCTCAGTGGCCCCCAGCCCTTTGGGCACCAGGGACCGGTTCCATGGGGAAAAAAAATTCCGCAGATTGGCGAGGGCGTGGTTTTGCATGCTGTCTGCATCCCGCGGATGGGGCTTCGCTTGTTTGCGCAGCCCAATTGCTGGCATGCCATGACCTGGTGCTGGTTCATGGACCAGGAGTTGGGGACCCCTGGACTACCTTATTTGAGAGACTATCTATCCCTAGCTACATCTACCTATCCCGTGAGATCCAGCAGGAGAGATATGCTGTGGATAGAGACGTGCAGGCCTGGAAAAAAACTGGAAAAAAACCCCGTTTTTTCCCATTTTTTTCCAAATGGCTTCGGGGAAAAAAAAGGGGGGGTGGGGAAACCACCGGAAAAAAACCCTTATTTTTTTCCCCAATGTTCTTGGTTTTCTTCCAGCCCTTTCCATCCTGTCCACTAAGGAGTTGCCACCTGATGAGGCCTGGGGAAACAGCCTTTTCTGTCATGGGGCCTGCTCCTTAGAACATCCTGCAGGGGGAAACTAGGATAGCCCCGATCCTGCTAGCCTTTCCAAAGACTCTGCAAACATGGTTTTGCCAATGGGCATGAGGACCAGAGAATGTGGCAGAGCTGGTCCAATGTTGCATTAGTGCGATTGCTAGATACAATTATCTTAGCTATAAATTTTAGGAATTTACTATGATGAGAGGTTTTACGTGCTTTTATATTGTTTTTGTTTTTTTTAAAAAAATAGTTATACTATTCTTGTTTAATTTGTCTTAATGATAAGCCACCCGGACTCATCTTTATGAGACTGGCAGTTATATAGATCTGAATAATAAATAAATACTAAGTAACCTAGCCCTGTTCTGAGAGAAAGTTACCATCTTTAAGATGGTAACAACAACAACAACCCCAATACTGAAAATGTTCTGTGACCCACATGCTTTGATCCGGTCCCCTCTAAAATTTTCAGTGTCCTGCCCGAAACAGTCTCCAGGAACGGCCACTGTCGGAGTGAGGATTCTCTCACCTGGCCCGGACAGAGAACTTGTGGCTGGTTCTCAGCACCAGTGGACGTTGATTGGGGACTTGCATCTTAGGCTGTACCTCCACCACAAAAGCACTGGCAAGAGCAGAGCAACATTAGTTTTCTATAACCCATCTATTCCCGCCCGCCTCCCTGTAACCCAGTGGTTCTCAACCTTTTTAATGTCGTGACCCCAACCGGTCATAAGTTGAGGACTAAACCGGTCGTAAGTCGAGGACTAAACCGGTCGTAAGTCGAGGACTACCCAACCAGTCGTAAGTCGAGGACTTTCCCTGCCCGGGAGCGCCACGCATGCGTGGTTCCGCCTCCTGCGCCGGCCGAGGCGTAGCTGGCAAGCGGCAGAGACGGAGCAGGCCGACCACCAGCTGGCCCAGCCCAAGGGAGGTAAGGCACCCGCCGGAAAAGGGGAAAAAAATGGCGGACAAAAAAAATGGCAGACAGCCTTCCTTGGCGACCCCCGTGAAATGGTCGATCGACCCCAAATGGGGTCCCAACCCACAGGTTGAGAACCACTGCTGTAACCTTTCCTTAGTGGCAGAATCCTTCCCCTCCCTTGTCACCTTTTCAAGAGGCAGATTATTTGCTCCTGAAGAGTCTTGAGCAGAGGGGGCAACCGGCTGTTGAAGGGATCTGTCAAGTAAGTCACTTTTTCATACATCCCATTTAGCATCCTTAATAGTTGCAGCAAGTGGAAGAGGATCTCAGCACTGTTAGTAAACCTGCAATTCAGGGAGAAAATCAGTGGATAACAGGATGCTCCAGGAACATGCTGTGAAGAGGGCTGCAGAAATCTGCAAGAGTCAAAAAAGCCTAACTAGAAGCCCTGACAAGGAAGCCTGAAATTAAATAGACTGCAAGTTCCTTTCAACGGCTTTGATAGGGAATTCAGGGAAGAAAAACAAGAAGTGTAGTATAGTACTGTAATGTCAGACCACAAGGCGCAACCGGAAAATAGCTTTGCCTAACAAATCAAAGCTACTAGGGGGCTATTCAGGAAACCAGCAAAGTACACAAATGGCCCTTTAAAGAGTAAATTCACAGGCATAGTTAAAAACTGGCCCAATTGCTTGGTTATGACCGTGACTGCCTGACTGCTTCTGCAATTACTTTTGAAACAGACATTTATGTAATTGCTAACTACATGAAATACTGGCCGAGTTTATTCATCAGACTCAGAATTGATAGTTTGCTTACATTTGTATGAACCCAGCTACTGTGGCTTGCAAACCATGGTTTGTTTACTGCATGAACCCAACCCAGCCAATTATGCTTCATTCAATAAAGCACTTTTAGATCAAACATACTGTAACTCACTGTGATCATGAATTAATTTAATTAGGGGTCACATTTAACTGCTGCCCTAGGTCACGGACTCGGGACTACCTTTTAACTAAAGATCAATGATTCAGACAGATGTAGAACTAGCAGTCCTGGGATAACTCACTGCAGCTTGCCTTGCCTTATAAAATGCCTTATACAGCCATGTTACTTACCACCAAGTACAGGTGGTCCTTGACTTATGACTATAACTGAGCCCAAAATTTATGTTGCCAAATAAGGCAGCTGTTAAGTGAGTTGTACCCCATTTTATGACTTTTTGTCACCATTGTAACTGCAGTTGTTAAGCAATCCTGGCTTCCCCCAATGATTTTTGCTTGTTAGAAGCCAGCTGGGAAAGTTACAAATCATGATCACCTGGCACCCCCCCCCCCAGAGTGCAATGTCATAAATAGATGCCAGTTGCCAAGTGCCCAAATATTGGTCATGTGACCATGGGAATGCTGCAACGGGCCTAAGTGTGGAAACCCGTCATAAGTCACTTTTTTCAATGCTGTTGTAACTTCAGACAGCCACTGAATGAATGGTAGTAAGCCGAGATCTTACTGTAATGCATTTCTTCAAAGAGATCATTTTATAGAAACCTATATTTATAGAAATGTCTCATTAAAAACAAGTAACTGGACCCTCTGGATCAGTACCACTTACCATTCTTCCAGACGCCCTAAGCTGGTATCACATTTCTGCCCAATGCAAGCTAACCGCTGACGCATTTGCCATGCTGCTACCTCCTCCAGAAGTAAATCTCTTAGAGTAGCAGAGCGTCCAAGAAGTTCGCAGATTTGGTCCAGCATATCCTGTTTAAAAACATGCAGAATATATAACTTGTTTATTTTATTTTATTTATCAATTTTTTAAACCGCTTACCTCCTCACAGAGCAACTCTGGCAAGTGTGCAGATATAATACCAAAATGTGAAAAACAGTATATAAAATTGAATAAAAGGCAATGATGAATTAATATGTTAATATAAATAATTTTGTTATCAATCATTAACAGGTGGTCATCAACTTACAACTGTAATTAAGCCTGATGTCCCAGGTTCTTTTACATGTACCCAGGTCAGTGGGCTCCAAAACTCTCGAGATTCAACACAAGCACACCTGGCCTCTAGGCCAGGGCTTTTCAACCAATGGTACGGGTACCACCTGTGGTACATTGGCACCTGGCAGGTGGTACGCGACCATCCTAGAAAAGTGGTAGCAGGGGAGGGGAATGAGCTGAACCGGTGGCAGCACCGCACAAGCCTGAGCAAGAGATGGCTGGAGCTGCAGGGCTGTCAGGGCTCAGCGGAAGCACCAGGATCAGTGCCACTTTCCAGCTGATTGGCGCTTCTTCGGGATTGTCAGGGCTCAGTGGAAGCGCCAGGATCAGCGCCAGGCTCCAGCTGGAGCTCGGCGCTGATCCTGGTGCTTCTGCTGAGCCCAGAAGAAGCGCCGATCAGCTGGAATGTTGCAGCATCTCCAGGGTCTTGTGATTTACATTCAGATGCTTGGCAACTGATTTATATTTATGACGGTCACAGTGTCCCAGGCTCATGTGAAGTGACCAAACCTTGCTGCAACCACCCAGCAGACGGGGGGAATAAAAACCAAACACCTCCCACCCCACCCCCGCTGCCAATCCTCAACAGAAATGCTCACAATAAACACCTCGGACAGGAGGAAGAGCGCCGCCGGGTGGGCAGGCAGGCGTCTTGCTCGGCTGTGGCTTGGGGGGCACTTTTTTCAGTACCATTGTAACTTCGAACAGTCACTAAGTGAACTGTTTTAAGTTGAGGACTACCTGTACTTTATCACTTTTTTCTGGGTTTTTTTTTTTGGTCATCAAGTTTTTGACACCTTGCTAGGCGACTGGTGGTACTCGGATATTGCCATCTCCTAAAAGTGGTACAATGGGTGAAAAGGTTGAAAAGCCCTGCTTTAGGCAACACACCCTCCTCAAGCACTCAAAGGCTAGTACCCACTCAAGCACTACCACTCTTCCCCAGTTCTACTGCAACTCCTGTTCCTCCACTACTTCTCTTTATGAGTTCTACTTCTGGAGAACTATAACTGTAACTATTTGCCTTAGGCTTCTTCAGGCTGTTTTAGTTTCCCAAACATATACAAGGCATCTTCCCTCACACTCCTATATCATCACCACAACATCCACCTGCCTCTCTGCTCAGCTTTTATACCACGTATTACAGATATTCCTCAATTTACAACACTTCGTTTAGTGACCGTTCGAAGTTACGGCAGCACTGAAAGGAGTGACTTATGACCGTTTTTCACCTTTGAAGCATCCCCATGATTACGTGATCAAAATTCAGACACTTGGCAACTAGTTCATATTTATGACGGTTGCAATGTCCTGGGATCATGTGATTCCCTTTTGTGACCTTCTGGCAAGCAAAGTCAATGGGGAAGCCAGGTTCACTTAACAACCGTGTTACTAACTTTTTTCTTTCAATGGGATGGGACGGAATTTAGTACAGGTAGTCCTTGACTTATGACCACAATTGAGACCAAGATTTCTGTTGTTAAATGAGACATATGTTAAGTGAGTTTTGCCCCCTTTTACGACCTTTCTTGCCACAGTAGTTGTTATTGCAGTGATTCACTTAACAACTGTGGCAAGAAAAGTCATAAAATGAGGCAAAACTCCCTTAACAAATGTGTCACTTAGCAACAGAAACTTTGGGCTCAATTGTGGTCGTAAGTCGAGGACTACCTGTACTGGGTTGGGTAGGGAGAAGTCTTAAAAGGGACAGGACACCAGCAGCTCAGGCGCTGGCCATTTTGCAGGCAGCCTGTCCTCTCACAACTGGCGATTACAGTTGTAAGTTGTGACAGTCATAAAGTGGGTGACAGGACCAGACTTGATTTTGTGACCTTTTTTTGCAGTGGTTGTTAAGCAAATGCCATGGTCATTAAGCAAAACTATTGTTAGCTATGGGGCAGTTTTTGCCAGAAACCAGAACTAAAAGACAGTTTCCAACAAAACTGCTGTAGATCAGTCATGTGTCCTCAGGGTGCTGCAAGCTGGGCTGGTTGCTGAGCACCCAAAATGCCATCATGTGACTGTGTGCAGGGGAGACGAGGGTTACATTGGAACTTCAAAACCGGGTTGTAAGTCGCTTTGGGGGAGGTCTGTCGTAACTTTGAATAATAGTTAAGTCGTAATGAAGGACTATCTGTATGGTTCTTGTTAAAAAAAATGTAATTGCATCTTTTAAGACAACCAACACGTTTTTGCATTAGTAAGTCCAAATCCCATGCTTTTGCAGCACTTGAAGTTTACTGAAATTAGAACTTCCTTTTTTTTAAAAAAAGAAAAAGATAGGAAAGAAGGGGAAAAAACATGCTACTGTACTGGCCAGTGCTCATACTCACCTGGCGGAAGCGGTCCAAATTATTTAACATGCTTTGTAACTTGTTAATGGTTCTGGTCCGCTGAGGCTCACTAGCCGGAGTGGTGCTTTCTGCAAGAAAAGAGGGCTCTTTAGAGGAAGACTCTAACCTTGAACCTGTTCTCATATGAGTGTTGATTGCCAAAGAGTGCTGATTCTCCAGGTCAAAGCTGTCTATGATTTTGAGGGAGTCATCGACTCCCTCTGAGCTTCCTGTCTGGAAAAAGCAGACAGGAAGCAGGATTCATCTCTAATAACGAGCTCTTTAGGATGGGTGATTTGACTCTCTAGGCCAGGAGTAGGCAACCTTGGCTCTTTTATGACTCATGGACTTCAACTCCCAGAATTCCTGAGTTGAAGTCCACGAGTCATAAAAGAGCCAAGGTTGCCTACCCCTGCTCTAGGCCAGCGGTTCTCAACCTATGGGTCGCGACCCCATTTGGGGTCGATCGACCATTTCACGGGGGTCACCAAGCAAGGCTGTCCGCCATTTTTTTTCCCCTTTTCCGGCGGGTGCCTTACCTCTCTTGGGCTGGGCCAGCTGGTGGTCGGCCTGCTCCGTCTCTGCCGCTTGCCAGCTACGCCTCGGCCGGCGCAGGGGGCAGAACCACGCATGCACGGCGCTCCCAGGCAGGGAAAGTCCTCGACTTACGACTGGTTTAGTCCTCGACTTACGACCGGTTTAGTCCTCGACTTACGACCGGTTTAGTCCTCGACTTACGACCAGTTGGGGGTCGCGGCATTAAAAAGGTTGAGAACCACTGCTCTAGGCTGACTATGTATGACAGGACCTAAAGTAGGACCTAAGTATGATATCCTCTAACACATTTCAAACATCTGGATTGTGGTGAAGCGGCATCTTTCTCTACCAAGTTTATGTATATAACCCCAATTTTTGTAATCAGATTCATTTCAAAACTACTCAGCATTTCAATTCATATATTGGCAACTTGCTGGCCATGAACTCCTCTAAGCCCATAGATTTGAGCTGCAT